CACCATGCTGTCCGCCATCGTCAGCCTGGCATGTCTTGATGATTCCTGGAAGGGAATGAAGCCTGGTGCAAATATTGACCTGGAGCTCTGGGTCCTCCTTAACAGAGATCCCTGCCTCCACAGGGGCGAGGTGGCCCTTAATGGTTGGGTTCATCAAGGCTGAGCACCGTCCTTGCCAGTGAGGCCCATAGAACAGGCCGGGGGAGTAGGAGGCCAGGTCTGACATGAGATGGATCGTCCATCATGAGTCTTTCTTTCCAGGGGTCTTCTTGATCCAGAGTATCTGGGCACAGGAGGGTGAGTCTTTCCCCCCAAACCATGGTTGCCATCCACCTCGAGGAAGACTCTCCTGTAATAAGAGGGGGCATGGCAGAGAAGGTAGGGTGACAGGTCAACCATGGGAAGTCATAACCATATAAGAGTGAGTCTTTGGAAGTAGAAAATGGGAGCCCAGGGTGGCTCGGATGGTAAAGAGTCTGCCTGCAATGAAGGAGACCTGGGTTCGATCCCTGGGTCGGGAAGATCCCCTGGAGAAGGAAATGGCAACCAGCTCCAGTATTCTTGCCTAGAGAATTCCATGGATAGAGGAGTCTGGTGGGCTACAGTCCATGGGGTCACAAAGAGTCAGACACGACTGGTTGACTAACACGTTCAGCGAAATCTAGTCCCCAGTTCTGGTCCAGAGACCCTCCCTGAGACACTCTTCCCTCTGCTGAGCCAGGCTCTATGGGCACCTACAGGAGACTGTGATGGTCAGAGCTGGGGTGACTGGGAGGGACTGGTGCTCTCTGTAAACTGAGGGAAGACAGCAGGGCCAGGGACAACAGACCCTTGGAGGACAGGGTGATGACTCAAGCTCCCCAGCAGTTCCATGGGGTGGACATTGCAGAGAACTGTTGCTGCTGTCCTCCATTCAGAAGAAGGGGAGAACCGTACGCCCTGCCCCCTGATTCCAGGAGGTTCTACCACAGGCTCCATCACGTCCTGCGTTTCTCATGTAAGCTGACATCATTCCACCCACACAGGTTATTCTTCCATTGGGTGTCTACTCCGTCTTGTTTTATAAAACACATTTTACATGATCAATACCCAGGAAGAGTCTGTAAGTCAACACTTGCTAAGAATCCTCAGGCTTCCCCGGTAGCTCAGTGGCAAAGAACCTGCCTGCAATTCAGGGACTGCAGGCCATGTGGGTTCAATCCTGGGGTTGGAAGATCCCCTGGAAAAGGAAATGGCAATCCACTGCAGTACTCTTGCTTGGAGAATCCCATGGACAGAGGAGCCTGGCGGGCTACAGTCCATGGGTCACAAGAGTCAGACACGACCGAGCACACACACATACTCAGAATTCTCAGCAGACGTTTTTCATGTAGGAGGTGCTGCCTCTGTGGTGTGGGAATCTCCATGGAGCACAGGTTCCCCTGGTTTGAAAAGGAGCCTTAGAGATGTGGGAAGGGGGAGGGTCCTCTGAGCCCAGCAAGGGGAATGGGTTCCCCATCTTCTACTGTAAACCATGCATTCTTCTCCCCCAGGGGGTCACGACAAGCCCTCCCTGCCAGCCTGGCCAAGCCCTGTGGTTCCTCAAGGACAGCATGTGACTCTCCGGTGCCACTCCCCTCTCGGATTTGACAGGTTCAGGCTGCACAAGGCTGAGAGAACCAATGTCCCTGAGCTCCAGGGCGTCACATTCTGGAAGGACTTCCTGATGGGCCCTGTGACCAAGGCACACACAGGGACCTACAGGTGTCGTGGTTGCTACAGTCACCTCCCCACTACGTGTTCAGCACCCAGCGACCCCCTGGAGATTGTGGTCACAGGTCAGAGAGCTCTTGTCCAGACAGGCCACCTGTTGTCCCGGTCTCCTGGATCCCAGAGTTTTCTGGTGGAAGTGTGAGTCAGGGTCCAGTCAGAACAACAGGAAGTGCTCCAGGCATTCTAGATAAAAGGATATTGAAAAAAAACAAAAAAACAAAACAAAATAATTTTAAAAAAAGAAAAGGATATATTTTTTTTCATTTATTTTTATTAGTTGGAGGCTAATTACTTCACAACATTGCAGTGGGTTTTGTCATACATTGACATGAATCAGCCATGGAGTTACATGTATTCCCCATCCCAATGCCCCCTCCCACCTCCCTCTCCACATGATTCCTCTGGGTCTTCCCAGTGCACCAGGCCCGAGCACTTGTCTCATGCATCCCACCTGGGCTGGTGATCTGTTTCACTATAGATAATATACATGCTGTTCTTTCGAAACATCCCACCCTCGCCTTCTCCCACAGAGTCCAAAAGTCTGTTATTTAACAGAGGAGATTGGGTCCCGCAGCAGGCAGAATGATGGCACCCCTAAAGATGCCCACATCCTAATACCCCAAATCTACTATTACTATATCCCATTCCAAGGGAAATGAAACCACATGTGGAACTTAGGTTGGTAAGCAGGTGACCTTGAGACGAGGAGGTTTTCCTGCAGATGTTTCTGTGTGCTTTAAGTCTCTCCCACTCTGAGTGGTCAGCCCCTCACTGACCCTCTGGACACAGTGATCACAAGTGAGAATGTCAAGACCTGGCATACCGACTGGATGTATCAGGACTTCGAAGCCCCAGTTGGTGGTGTGGGAGAGGAGAGAACGGTGCTTTTTACAGAGAGAAGTTGACTTGGTGAGAGTTGCATCCGAGAGACAAAGAAAGAGGAGAAACAAGTACAGACCACCTGTTACAACAGAAAAGACAGATGCAGGGGCAGAGACAGAGGAACTCAGAGATGGAGATAAAGAGTGAAGTGAGAGATACAGACAGACGGGCAGGTAGCAGAGAGGGTGCCTTCTACCCTGACCAGGAGCAGTTTAGGAGCTTGGTTTCCATTTTAACGCTACACTCTCTTCTCTACTCAAAGAACCCAAGGATACACCACGTATCTGCCCAGGACTTCATGACCGGTTGATCTGTCTCAGGCTGTTTCCCCAGGAGCCCTGCGTCCTCACGCCCCGGGTGACGCACAGATACTGTGTCCACTCTGATGTGGCTTCCTTGCAGGTGGTTGAACCACACTCTGCCCCAGGACACCAAGGTCCCTGGTGACGAGCCAAACGCCAGCTCCTGTATGTAGTGTGCTTCATGGGTTCTCATGCTGTATGCTCAGGCCCACGTGCAAGCTCACACCAAACGTTGTAAGATTATGGAGGTCAAAGCCCACAGAGAGATGGAATCAGAGAGAAAACAGTCAATGAAAAGCAGAGGCAGAAACACAGGTGCTGTGCATAACACACGGAAAATAAGCCAGAGGGACTGGGGGCAGTGGGAGAAACATTAAAAAAAAATAAAGGTAAATAGAAAGAAAAAAGGATAGAGAGAATTAATGAGAAAGAAGGGAGGGGACAGAGAAGCCCTAAAAATCAGAGACCTGGGGAGGGGGGTGGGCAAAAAGACCGAGAAAGACGGTGATGTGGGGATGAATAATAGAGATTCCAAAAGAGACCCAGAGAGACAGAGAAGCAGAGGAAGTCATGGAAGTGGGAATAGATGATAGGTAAATAGATAGATAGATAGATAAATAGATAGGTAGATAGATAGGTAAAATGATGGATGAACGTATACATAGATGATAAAATGGGTAGATAGCTACATACACAGAAAGCTAGATAGATGGTGGAATGATGGATGGATATATAGATAGATGATAAGATGGATAGATAGGACTGCAGATGGAGGTAGAGACAGATAATATAAACAGATAGATGGATAATGCTGAAAGATAGAGACGAGATAGAGAATGAGAGCCTCAGAAGGAAAGAAGACAGATCAAATCAACCGATCCAAGGAGACGTAGAGATTAAAAAAAAATACAAGAAGGAAAACAATTAGGAGGGGGGCCATTTCAGAGACTTAGAGAGAGAAAGTAGGAGAGAGATGGGGGAGAATATGAGTGAGAGCAAGAGAGAGTTGAGAAGAACCGCGAGTGTGAATTCTCGGTTCAGGGGTGAAGGACATGGGATTCGGGAAGAGCCTCTCTCACTAAATTGCCTCTCCTCCTTCCAGGTCTGTCCAAGAAACCCTCTCTCTCAGCCCAGCGGGGGCCCGTGGTGAGGTCAGGAGAGAACGTGACCTTGCTCTGCAGCTCCGAGCACACCTCTGACCAGTTCCATCTGCCCAGGGAGGGGGAGAACCTTGGGCGCCCGCTCGCTGGAGGGCGGGGCCCCCGCGGAGCGCTCCAGGCAGCGTTCCCCCTGGGTCCTGGGACCCCAGCCCACAGCGGGGCCCACAGGTGCTACGGCTCCTTCACTCGCTCTCCCTACGCGTGGTCAGACCCCAGCGACCCCCTGCTCCTGTGTGTCACAGGTGAGGACCCTCTTGATTCATATTAAATTTTTTTTCATGATTTTATTTATTTATTTTTGGCTGCACTGGGTCTCGTGGCTGCACAGGCTTTTCTCATGAGCAGGGGCTCCTCTCCAGCTGTGGTGCACAGGTTTCTCATTTGTGGCGGCTTCTCTTGTTGTGGAGCACGAGCTCTAGGGTGTGCGGGTTTCAGTCGTTGCCGCACGCGGGCTCGGTAGTTGTCGCTCCCGGGCCCTGGAGCGCAGGCTCGGTAGTTGTGGGGCATGAGCTTAGTTACTCCTCGGCATGTGGGATCTTCCTGGATCAGGGATCGAAACCCTGTCTCCTGTATTGGCAGGCAGATTCTTAACCTCTGAGCCCCCAGGGAAGCCCTGATTCTTTTTTTTTTTTAATGTTTTGGTTTTCTGGCCTCGAGGCATATGAGATCTTTGGTACCAGGGATGGAACCCACACCCCCTGCATTGGAAGGCCAAGTCTTAACCACAGGACCACCAGGGAAGGCCACCTCTCTGCATCTTGAAGCTCAGGGAGGCAGTCAAGTCCCCAGGGATTAGGGAAAGGGCTGCTAAGACTCTCAGGACCTCAGCATTAGATGACAAAGAAGCTTCCATGAAGTAAAAGGCAGCCTCCTTCTCTCACCTCTCTCCTGTTCCTCTTTCTAGGAAACTCTTCAAGTAGTCAGCCGCTACAGACAAAGCCAAACTCCAGCAGTAGTGAGTAACTGTTCTGATCTCTGTTTGCAGAACCCTGGGAGGGAGACACTCCTGAATAGATTACGGACTCAGCTGGGCTTCCAGGGGGCTCAGCAGTTAAGGACCTGAATGCCAAGGCTGGAGACACAGGTTTGACCCCTGGGTCAGGAAGATCCCAGGAGGAGGGAATGGCAACCCACTCCAGTATTGTTCAGTTGCTAAGTTGTGTCTGACTCAGCAACCCCATGGACTGTAGGATGCCAGGCTTCCCTGTCCTTCACTATCTCCTGGAGTTTGCTCAAACTCGCTCGGGTATTCTTGCTGGAGAATCCCACGGACAGAGGAGCCGGGCGGGCTACAGCCCATGGGGTCAAAAAGAGTCAGACATGACCGAGTGACGGAGCCTGCATGTGTTGACTCAGCCACCTCTCCAGCTCTGTGCTCTTGGGCTTGTCATCCGCCCTGTCTGACCCCCAGATTCTCCCGCATCAGAAGGGGGTTCAGGTCTGTGTGCAGTCCAGTTCAGTTCAGTCGCTCAGTCAGGTCTGATGCTTCACAACCCTGTGGATTGTTGTCCAGTTAGGACTCAGTATTTTTTATTGAAACATAGCTGACTTACAGTGTTGTGCTGATCTCTGCCGTACAGTGAAGTGACTCAGTTATACACATACAGACATTTTTCCCCAGTGAGGGCTCTTAATCTCTAATTTTCTGCAGCTGAGGTCTCCTCCAAGAGAGGAGGATGAGAAAAACCTGACCACCCCCACCAGGAATAAAGCCACGACTAACCTCTCCACAGTGCTAACTGGAGATGAGAACTGTGAAGGCTTGAGGAAGGGAAAAGAAGGCAGCAGCTGGTGGGGGCAATGGCCCAGTTCTTTGAGAAGTTCTGTTTGCCAAGAAATGAGCACTGGGACTTCCCGGGTGGTCCAGTGGTTAAGAATCCGCCTTCCTTCAGCCATAAAAAGGAATGCATTTGAGCCAGTTCTAATAACGTGGATGAACCAAGAGCTGGTTATACAGAATGAAGCCAGTCAGAAAGAGAAAAGCAAGTTTCGTATATCAATGCTTACATATGGAATCTAGAAAGGTGACACTGATGAACCTATTGACAGGTGGGAATAGAGACGCAGACACAGAGAACAGACTTTGGACACAGCAGGGGAAGGAGAGGGTGGGACGAATTGAGAGTGTCATTGAAGCGTATCCATCACCATATGCAAAATAGACAGCTAATGGCATGTTGCTGTGTAACGCAGGGTGCACAGCCAGGTCTCCATGATAACCCAGAGGGAAGGGATGGTGTGGGAGGTGGGAGGGAGGTTCACAAGGGAAGGGACATACGCGTGCCTACGGCTGATTCATGTTGACAAATGGCAGAAAGCAACACAACATTGTAAAGCAATTATCTCCGATCAAAAGTAAATAATAAAAATAAATCAATACATTTGGATATATATACAAAAAAAAGAACCCCTCTTCCAGTGAAGGGGGTGTGAGTTCGATCCCTGGTTGGGAAACTAAGATCCCACATGCCTCATAGCCAAAAAAGCAAAACATAAAACAGAAGCAATATTGTAACAAATTCAATAAAGACTTTAAAAAATGATCCACATCAAAAAAAAATTTTTTTTAATCTTTTAAAATAAAAAGAAATGAGCTCTTGTCTGTCAGGATGAAACCAAAAGCTCTCAGTAGCACAAAAGCTACAGTAAGACAGAACTGAATCCATCCACATCTAGGGTTCCTTCATTAACGTACTCTTTCAAGTACTGTTCCAGTTTAAGTTCTTACTCATTAAGTACTCATTTAAGTAACATACAATATGCATTGTACTTCCATTTCCTATTGCTGCTTCAACAAATTTCTACAGGCTCAGGGGATAATAACATCATGGTATTTTAAAGTATTTACAGTTCTATAAATGGGAAGTCTGAAACAGGTAAAAGTGAAAATGTTAGTTGCTCAGTGGTATTTGATTCTTTGTGACCTCATGGACTGTAGCCTGCCAGGCTCCTCTGTCCATGAATATTGTAGTGGGTTGCCATGCCTTCCTCCAGGGGATCTTCCTGAACCAGGGATCAAACCCAGGTCTCCCACATGGCAGGCAGATTCTTTACCATCTGAGCCACCAGGGAAGCCCTCTAAAATGAATGGGTGACACGGGGCTAAAATCAAGATGGCAGGAGGATTGCATTCCTTCTGGTGGTTCTGGGGAAGAATCCATTTCCTTGCCTGTTCCAGCTTCTAGAGGCTTCTTACATTTCCTACATCTCACAGTCGCTTCCTCCATCTTCACAGCTACAGTGGTTGGTCATGTCTACCTGACATCGTCTCACTCTGACCCTCTTTCTTTCATCACATCTCTCTCTCCAACTCTCTTCTTGTCCCTCCCTCTTTCTCTTGTAAGAACTTTGTGATTACACTGGGATCGTCCAAATAATCTAGGATAATCTCCCTATTTTAAACCTTTTTTAAAAAATTGGCTGTTCCACGTTGGATCTTAGTTTCCCTGACCAAAGATCAAACCTGCGCCCCCTGCATTGGAAGCCTGGAGTCTTAGCAGCTGGTGGTGGTGGTTTAGTCACTCAGTTGTAGTCAACTCTGTAACTCCATGGACTATAGCCCGCCAGACTCCTCTGTCCATTGGATTCTGCAGGCAAGAATACTGGAGTGGGTTGCCATTTCCTATTCCACAGGGTCTTCCCCACTCAGGGATCAAACCCATGTCTCCTGCATTGGCATGCAGGTTCTTTACCACTGAGCCACCCAGGAAGCCCATCTTATAAAACACTAGAATGCCAAACATACTTGGGTTCAAACCATCATTAGTCTACTTTGGTAAAATTACCTTTTTGACCCTCTATTTTATCCACAACAGAGCCAGATTGAACCTCTTCCCTTTGAGGCTGTCTATGAGGATGGGGTCAAATCAAAAAGGTGAAAACATTACTCCCCCCACCACCACCCTACAGAGCCCAGGTCCTGGATCAAGGAGAGTGTGGGATACATGGTACAAAACTTCCCCCCGTCCATCCTCCCACCCCAAAACCTTTCCTTCACCCAAATTCCAATTGTATGTGTAGATGAAGATAGATTCTGGGAGGTGGATGCCAATGTTCTTTTTTGTTATTTTATGTCTTTATTTATTTTTGGCTGCACTGGGTCTTTATTGCTGTGTGTGGGCTTTCTCTAGTTGCAGCACACAGGCTTCAGTAGTTCAGTAAGGGCTTAGTCACTTTGGGACATGTGGAATCTTCCTGGTCCAGGAATGGAACCCATGTCCCCTGCATCAGCAGGTATATTCTTAACCTGGACCACCAGGGAAGACCACTAGTATTCTTTTGAGTGAGTTCAGATCTTGGACTCAGAGGTGGGAAACAGCAAACCTCCCGATCAACTTTCCTCCTAATTTCTGAAAGGACTGGTTTTGTTGGTCGGGGGATGAACAACAAAGTATGTCTGGCAATAGCTGGCAGCGGGGTTGGTCTTTTCTCTCTCCCTCACCTGCAGAGCTTCAGCCTAAATATGGCTCATGAGACCACAGTAAAACTGCATTCTGCAGCCCTGGGCTCAAATGTCTTGTCATTTCCTGGGCATGTGACGTAAGACAACTGCCCTTACTTTGATCTTTATTTTGCTTTTGTCTTCCACTGGATAACTTAATTTGTTTGACTCAAGGGTATCGTGAAGGTAGAGATAGCGCATTCATTTACCTGGCAAACAGTAAAGGAGAACTACTATGATTTGTTTCTTAATGGATTCACATCTTCCTCCAGGTAACCCCAGGCACCTGCACGCTCTGGTTGGACCCTCCCTGGCCTTCGTATTCCTTGTCAGCCTTATCTCCTTCCTTGCCCATCACTGGTGCCGTGATGCTAAGGGTAAGTCTCAGGAAGAAGAGTCCAGTGCATCTGGGCAAAGTGGGGAGGAGAGGGGACAGTGTACAGGTTTGTGCTCAAGGCAGGAGCCAAACACAGAGCTGTCTTTCTTTCCTCCCTCCCTTCCTCCCTTCCTTCTTTATTTGGCTGTGTCGAGTCTTCGTTGCAGCACTGGGGAACTTGGCTGCATCACACGGAATCTTTCGTCCTAGCACTTGGGCTCTCTAGCTTGGTGCACAGGCTTAACTGCCCCAAGGCATGTGGGATCTTAGTTCCTGGACCAGGGATGGAACCTGCATCCCCTGCCTTGAGAGGCGGATTCTTAACCACTGGCCTCCAGGGAACTCCCAGGATAGAGCTTTCAAGAGAGAACATCAGTGCCCTTGCCCCTCCTCTCAGCTTACAGGTCGTTGCCTACTTCTCCACTGGTCCGGTGCAGCCAGTAATATCTAGAGAAGGGATCAACATAAGGGAGAAATCAGGGGAGGGAACCAGTGGGATAGAGATAGGCAATTGTTGGAACTTCCCTGGTGGTCCAGTGGTTACAACTTCACCTTCCAATGCAGGGGTTTCAGGTTTGATCCCTGGTCGGGGACCTAAGGTCCCACATGCCTCATGGTGGCCAAAAAACCAAAACACAAAACAGAAGCAAAATCGTAACAGATTCAACAAAGTCTTTGAAAATGGTTAACATCAAAAAATCTTTTTTTATGTTTCTGTCTCTGTGCCAGTACCATACTGTCTTGATGACTGTGGCTTTGTAGTAGAGTCTGAAGTCAGGCAGGTTGATTCCTCCAGTTCCATTCTTCTTTCTCAAGATTACTTTGGCTATTCAAGGTTTTTTGTATTTCCATACAAATTGTGAAATTATTTGTTCTAGTTCTGTGAAAAATACCATTGGTAGCTTGATAGGGATTGCATTGAATCTATAGATTGCTTTGGATAGTATAGCCATTTTGACAATATTGATTCTTCCAATCCATGAACACGGTATGTTTCTCCATCTGTTTGTGTCCTCTTTGATTTCTTTCATCAGTGTTTTACAGTTTTCTATGTATAGGTCTTTTGTTTCTTTAGGTAGATATACTCCTAAGTATTTTATTCTTTTTGTTGCAATGGTGAATGGTATTGTTTCCTTAATTTCTCTTTCTGTTTTCTCATTGTTAGTGTATAGGAATGCAAGGGATTTCTGTGTGTTAATTTTATATCTTGCAACTTTACTATATTCGTTGATTAGCTCTAGTAATTTTCTGGTAGAGTCTTTAGGGTTTTCTATGTAGAGGATCATGTCATCTGCAAACAGCAAGAGTTTCACTTCTTCTTTTCCTGTCTAGATTCCTTTTACTTCTTTTTCTGCTCTGATTGCTGTGGCCAAAACTTCCAAAACTATGTTGAATAGTAGTGGTGAGAGTGGGCACCCTTGTCTTGTTCCTGATTTCAGGGGAAATGCTTTCAATTTTTCACCATTGAGGATAATGTTTGCTGTGGGTTTGTCATATATAGCTTTTATTATGTTGAGGTATGTTCCTTCTATTCCTGCTTTCTGGAGAGTTTTAATCATAAATTGGTGTTGAATTTTGTCAAAGGCTTTCTCTGCATCTATTGAGATAATCATATGGTTTTTATCTTTCAATTTGTTAATGTGGTGTATTCCATTGATTGATTTGCAGATATTAAAGAATCCTTTTATTCCTGGGATAAAGCCCACTTGGTCATGGTGTATGATTTTTTTAATATGTTGTTGGATTCTGTTTGCTAGAATTTTGTTAAGGATTTTTGCATCTATGTTCTATTCTGTTCCATTGATCTATATTTCTGTCTTTGTGCCAGATCTGGCACAAATATAGATCAATGGAACAGAATAGAAAGCCCAGAGATAAATCCATGAACCTATGGGCAGCTTATCTTTGACAAAGGAGGCAAGGATACAAAATGGAAAAAAGACAACCTCTTTCACAAGTGGTGTTGGGAAAACTGGTCAACCACTTGTAAAAGAATGAAACTAGAACACTTTCTAACACCATACACAAAAATAAACTCAAAATGGATTAAAGATCTAAATGTAAGACCAGAAACTATAAAACTCCTAGAGGAGGACATAGGCAAAACACTCTCTGACATAAATCACAGCAGGATCCTCTATGACCCACCTCCCAGAATATTGGAAATAAAAGCAAAAATAAACAAATGGGACCTAATGAAACTTAAAAGCTTTTGCACAACAAAGGAAACTATAAGCAAAGTGAAAAGACAGCCCTCAGATTGGGAGAAAATAATAGCAAATGAAGCAACAAAGGATTAATCTCAAAACTATACAAGCAACTCCTGCAGCTCAATTCCAGAAAAATAAATGACCCAATCAAAAAATGGGCCAAAGAACTAAACAGACATTTCTCCAAAGAAGACATACAGATGACTAACAAACACATGAAAAGATGCTCAACATCACTCATTATCAGAGAAATGCAAATCAAAACCACAATGAGGTACCATTACACACCAGTCAGGATGGCTGCTATCCAAAAGTCTACAAGCAATAAATGCTGGAGAGGGTGTGGAGAAAAGGGAACCCTCTTACACTGTTGGTGGGAATGCAAACTAAACAGCCACTATGGAGAACAGTGTGGAGATTTCTTAAAAAACTGGAAATAAAACTGCCATATGACCCAACAATCCCACTTCTGGGCATACACACCGAGGAAACCAGATCTGAAAGAGACACATGCACCCCAATGTTCATCGCAGCACTGTTTATAATAGCCAGGACATGGAAGCAACCTAGGTGCCCATCAGCAGATGAATGGATAAGGAAGCTGTGGTACATATACACGATGTAATATTACTCAGCCATTAAAAAGAATTCATTTGAATCAGTTCTAATGAGATGGATGAAACTGGAGCCCATTATACAGAGTGAAGTAAGCCAGAAAGATAAAGACCATTACAGCATACTAACACATATATATGGAATTTAGAAAGATGGTAATGATAACCCTATATGCAAAACAGAAAAAGAGACACAGATGTACAGAACAGACTTTTGGACTCTGTGGGAGAAGGTGAGGGTGGAATGTTTCATGAGAACAGCATGTATATTATCTATAGTGAAACAGATCATCAGCCCAGGAGGGATGCATGAGACAAGTGCTCAGGCCTGGTGCACTGGGAAGACCCAGAGGAATCTGGTGGAGAGGGAGATGGGAGGGGGGATCGGGATGGGGAATACATGTAACTCCATGGCTGATTCATGTCAATGTATGACAAAACCCACTGCAATGTTGTGAAGTAATTAGCCTCCAACTAATAAAAATAAATGAAAAAAAATCTTTTTTTAAAAAATGGGAGCTATCAATGCGGTGGGTGTTTGAACCTCAAAGAGGTAAAATTTCAGGCTCTACTTTCGGGAGATAAGATGGTTGGATGGCATCACGGACTCAATGGACATGAGTTTGGGTAAATTCTGGGAGTTGGTGATGGACAGGGAAGCCTGGTGTGCTGCAGTCCGTGGGGTTGCAAAAAGTCAGACACGACTGAGCCACACTTTGGGGAGGATGAGTCATCTCAGACATCCACTGCATCTCTCTGTCCACTGGTGCTGTATGGATAAAATGAGAATCCAGAAGTGCCCTCCCAAGTGTCTTGACGACTTTATCACCCACAGATGCTGCTATAATGAACAGCCAGCCTGAGGTGGGCAGAAGAGTGAATCGGGAGGTAGGTTCTCTTTGATACAACCCCTGAATGCAGTCTCATTTCCCCCATCGCCCCCCTAAGTGTTTGCACACCCTCACTCATCATTCCCCTTTATGCAGGATCCTGACACAGAGGAACTGAATGAGGTGACATACACCGACTTGGATTGTTCGGTTTTCACATGGAAAAACATTACTCCCACATCCCAGAGGCCCAGAGAGCCCTCAGCTGATGCCAGTGTGTACATGGATCTTGCAACATGCTAAGAGCAGTTCAAGGCTTGAATCCCATCCCTGGAAGATGCCCAGAAAAAGCTGGAGGAGGTCTTCGATGGAAGCCATAGCACTTTCTCAAACTCAGCTTGAGAGCGCCATCCTAACAGCTGGAATCTGAAGACATAAATCTTCATCTTTAGGGTCATCCCTCTTCATCAGAGGGTCATCTTTAAAGCCTCAGGACCCCTTTGAAACCTCCCCTAGCCATTCTAGGGGATTATCATGATGATTCGGCCATTTCCAATGTTATCAACAAAATCACCAAAGTGTTCTAGAAAGCCAACCATAAATAGCACACTTTCTTTGATGTTCAACTGATAAACTCCTAGAAATCATGATATATTTAATCAATGAATTAATTCCTCCAACAGTTTTCTATGGAAGCATAGCCTATTCTAAGTCTCTAAACAAATATTAGTGAAGAAAACTTCATCATGTTGTGGATCTTGGTCCAGTGGGAGATGCCAACATGTAAAACCATTGAATGCTATCTATAGGAGAGAAAGGGGCTTCCCAGGTGGCACAGTGGTAAATAATCCACCTGCCAATGCAAGAGACACAGCTTCGATCCCTGGGCCGGGAAGATCCCCTGGAGGAAGAAATGGCAACCCACTCCAGTATTCTTGCTTGGAGAATCCCATGGACAGAGGAACCTGGCAGGCTACAGTCCATGGGGTCTCAAAGAGTCAGACAGGACTGAGCAACTGAACACACACATATCTACCCATCTATCTATTTATCTATCATCTCCCTTCCCTGTTGTTATTGAATTTTCATCTGCATAAAATTATATAATCTGTGCTTTCATGACCAGATGTTTACATTCAGCACTGTATGTTTAAGACATAATCATATCTTTACGTCTGAGTCTATTTTTTCTTTTCCCTCCTATGTAAGAATCCATTGTATGAACATGTCACGATTGTGCATCCAGTCCTGGTGAGTCTCCAAAACTCTGCTGTCTTAATTTCATGTATTCTTTTATCCTGTTGGAATCTTCCAGATTTGTTGTTGTTCAGCCACACAGTCATGTCTGACTCTTTGCAACCCTACGGATGGCAGCATGCCAGGCTCCTCTGTCCTCCACTATCTCCCAAAGTTTGCTCAAGTCCATGTCTATCCTCCGTATAGATCTACCCATGTCTCCTGGGATCTGAGAGGTTATGCACAGGCAGGCCTGGGCATCCTCAGATGAGAGACCCCTGACTGCCGGAAAGGGCCCTGCTGGCACTGCCAATCTGGGATGTAACTCACCACCTTCACAGCTACCACCGCATCCATGGACCCTGTGTCTCTGTTCTTTATTGATAATTATCCCAAGGCTCAAAACAAGGAGCTCCAGTACGAAAGGGTAGCTGTATCTGGATGATGCTGGAAGAACAGAATAGTACAAGAAAGTAAGGCACCAGAGTTTAGGAGATGTTTTTTTAAAAGTCCTTCAAACATATTAACCAATGGGTTATGCAAAAAAAAGAAAAAGACAAGAGTTTTGGAGGGCCGTTAAATTTCCATGTGGGTTTGCTGATAGCATTATGAATAAGTATGACAAAGTGATTTTTTTCTCCAAACTACAAAGTCCTCATTGTTGTTAGAGCAGCAAGGGGCTCCTGCAGGAGCTGGAAGGAAAGAGAAGTGTATCTAGGCTGGGTTTGTTTCTGAGAGTGCGTGTGTTGGGGCGGGACTTGGATGTTTCGACTCTAGGTCACATCAGATTAAAGGAATTCTTCAGGGATTTACGCCTGGAAATACATTCTAGGGAGCTTCCCCTGGGCTGATCTTTGTGTGGGGTCCATGTCTGTTGAACCTTATAACATGTCCCAAGAAAGGGACGTGGGATGCTGCGGGGTGCACAGAGGTTTGTGATGTCTCTGGTTCTTCAGCCTGTACGTGTCAGCAAACGCCACAGACAATGGTTCTCAGCTGGGGCAACATTGCCCACTAGGGGCATTCATCGGTGTCTGGAGATGGTTTTTGCTTGTCATGACCATGGGGGAGGCTGCCAGAGCACCTGTGGGTAAAGGCAGGGATGCTGCTCAGCACCCTCAATGCAAGGACAGCCCACCACCCCCAAGAGAGAATCATCATCTAGCCCCAGATGTCAGGAGTACTGAGGTTGAGACACCCTTGTCTAGGATGTAGTGTCTGTGCCTCTCTCAGTATTATAGAGCCAGATGGTCAGTGTACCATAAACCCCTGCAACATGGAGCATATCCTGGGATAGGCTCATTTTTTACAGCGAGAAAGCCATAATTTTGTTTGTTTATTTACTTGACTGCACCAGGTATTCATTGCTCATGAGGGATCTTAGTTTTGCATGTGGGATCCAGGTCCCTGACCAGGGATTGAACCCAGGCAACCCCGGCATTGGGAGTGCAGGGTCTTAGTCACTGGACCACCAGGAAGTCCCCAAAGTCATATTTTATTAGATGAACGGATAGATAGATGTGCATGCATATATATACATATACATATGTTGCTGTTGTTTAGTCACTGAGTTGGACTGTTCAGTTCAATCACTCAGTCGTGTCCGACTCTTTGCGACCCCACAGACAGCAGCTTGCCAGGCCTCCCTGTCCATCACCAACTCCCAGAGTTTACTCAAAACTTATGTCCATCGAGTCGGTGATGCCATCCAACCATCTCATCCTCTGTCATCCCCTTCTCCTCATACCTTCAATCTTTCCCAGCATCAGGGTCTTTTCAAATGAGTCAGTTCTTCACATCAGGTGGCCAAAGTATTGGAGTTTCAACTTCAGCATCAGTCCTTCCAATACATATTCAGGACTGATTTCCTTTAGGATGGACTGGTTGGATCTCCTTGCAGTCCAAGGTGCTCTCAAGAGTCTTCTCCAACACCACAGTTCAAAAGCATCAATTCTTTGGTGCTCAGCTTTCTTTAGTGCTCTTGCCTGGAAAATCCCATGGATGAAGGAGCCTGGTAGGCTGACGTTCATGGGGTCGCTAAGAGTTGGACACAACTGAGCGACTTCACTTTCACTTTTCACTTTCATCCATTGGAGAAGGAAATAGCAACCCAATCAATATTCTTGCCTGGAGAATTCCAGGGACAGGGGAACCTGGTGGGCTGCCGTCTATGGAGTCACACAGAGTTGAACACAACTGAAGCGACTTAGCAGCAGCAGCGTTCTTTATAGTCAAACTCTCACATCCATACATGACTACTTGGACTGTGTATATATTCACATTTGTGAGAGGAATACATACATGGAAATATACACATACATATATATCATATATATAATGTATATCTTAAGATATATACATCTTAAGCCATACTTCCCTTTATTCTTTGGTATAAATATCAAAATATACCAAGAAAAGCATCTTTAATCACTTCTCAAACTCTCAGTTTCAACTTGATTTTCAGGAACCCGTGCCAGGCTCACCCCCAGGTGAAGAGTACTCTCTAGCACACAACCAGCTGCAGACATATACTCTAATCTGGGATAAATTACCTTTAAAAAATGCAACAGAGGGGACTTTCCTGGTGGTCCAGTGGTTAAGAGTCTGCCTTCCAATGCCACTGAGCCCCGCATGCCACAACTACTGAGCTGGAGCTTTAGAGCCTGTGAGCCACAAAAATAGATTCCATGTGTGGCAACTAAGAACTGATGCAGCCAAAAAATAAAAATAAAATTTTTTTAAGACAGAAAAGACCCTAACTGGTCACTCTCTGTGTGTATCTCTGAGGTCAGTGCATGACTCAGTGATAAAGAATCCACCTGCCAAGCAGGAGATGCATATCCAATCCCCAAGTTGGGAAGATCCCCTGGAGAAGGAAATGGCAACCCACTCCAGTATTCTTGCCTGAAGAATCTCCATGGACAGAGCAGCATGGCCTGCCACAGTCCATGGGGTTGCAAAAGAGTCAGACATGACTAAGCAACTAAACAACAATAATGTATAGCATGGTGAGAACAATTAACAATATTGTATTCTATATTTAAAAGTTGCTGAGAGGGACTTCCCTGGTGGTCCAGTGGCTAAGACTCTGAGCTCCCAATGCAGGGGGCCCAGGTTTGATCCCTGGTCAGACAACTAGATCCCACATGCTGTGATTAGGAGTTCACATGCCACAACTAGAAAGATTCCACACACCACAACAAAAATCAAAGATTCCAAATGCCACAACTAAGACCTGGTGCAGCTCTTCAGTGAATAAATAAATCTTTTTAAAGTTGCTGAGATCAGATGAATGGATGAGGAAGCTGTGGTACATATATACGATGTAATATTACTCAGCCATTAAAGAGAATTCATTTGAATCAGTTCTAATGAGATGGATGAAACTGGAGCCCATTATACAGAGTGAAGTAAGCCAGAAAGATAAAGACCATTACAGTATACTAACACATATATATGGAATTTAGAAAGATGGTAACGATAACCCTATATGCAAAACAGAAAAAGAGACATAGATGTATAGAACAGACTTGTGGACTCTGTGGGAGAAGGCAAGGGTGGGATGTTTCAAGAGAACAGCATCGAAACATGTATATTATCTAGGGTGAAACAGATCACCAGCCCAGGTTGGATGCATGAGACAAGTGCTCGGGCCTGGTGCACTGGGAAGACCCAGAGGGATCGGGTGGAGAGGGAGGTGGGAGGGGGGACCGGGATGGGGAATACATGAAAATCCATGGCTAATTCATTTCAATGTATGACAAAAACCACTGCAATGTTGTAAAGTAAATAGCCTCCAACTAATAAAAATAAATGAAAAAAAAAAATAAAAAATAAAAAAAATAAAGTTGCTGAGAGAGTAAATCTTAATGTTCTAACCACAAAAAAAAAATATTTTTAAAAAATAGGAAGAAAGGAAATGGTAATTATGCAAGCTGGTGGGTGTATTAGCTAATGCCACAATGAACATCACTGTGCAGCAAGGAAGTGGATCAAGTCAACCTGTGGTGCACCTTAAATTCACATGATGTTATGTCAATGACATCTCAATAAAGTTGAAAAAAAGGGTGATGTCTTGCAATGAAAATGAGATAGCCAGGAGAAAGTTTTATGTGAAATATTTGACTTCTTATACTTGAAGAACTAGTGATAGCCAGGTAGGTGTCTGTAGCCAAATTTATCTATCCATCCATCCATCTGTTTATCTGCCTGTCTACCTACCTACCTGACTATCTATCTAATCTATAGTCTCTATCAATCCATCATCTATTCATAGATTACAGGTTTAGATATAGATCAGATATAGACATGGAAGGCTCATTCTTTAGACATGCATGAAAAAACATTCCTCTACATGCTGCCATTGAGATAATTCCCAACATAAGAGTACACTGCCTGCCTGATCAAGACCAAATGGGTATATTCGGTCCATGAATTCCATGGAGGCTATGTGGATCCATAGCCATCAAGGCCACATGGCTTTGGACTGATGGATCAACGAAGGAAAATCTCTGTCTGTATGTCAACCATCTAATAATTTTCTGACCCCAGCCCTTCCCCTGGGATGTGGGATCTTGTCTGAAGGAGGATTTGAGCCCCGTTCAACACTGGTGGAAGAAAATGCTCACTTCTCATCTGAAACAAAAACAGGAAGGTTGATCTCCTCTTAGGCTCCATCTCAGAGCCCCCGAGAATGAAGTTCTTTGAGAAGGAAGCATTCCTCTGGGGCAATAAGTGTAGAAATTCTCTGACGAGGACCTCTGAATTCATACTTCCTGTGGGTCTCACGGTCTTGTGAGACTGTGTCATCTGTTGATGCTCACTGTCAAGAGGCTAACTGAGCTGAGGCTGGCCGTGCAGAACCATGGCCCCCAAAGACACCATCTTCTTCTGTCTCGGTGAGCCCCCAAATGCAGGTGGGTTAGAGGGGCAGAAAGGGGGGAATCCGAAATAGTCAAGGTTTCTCTTAACTGGTGACTCAGACAGTAAATAATCTGCCTGCAATGCAGGAGACCTGGGTTCAATCCTTAGGTTGAGGAGATCCCCTGGAGAAGGGAATGGCAAGCCACTCCAGTATTCTTGCCTGGAGAATTGCATAGACAGAGGAGCCTGGTGGACTACTGTCCATAGGGCGGCAAAGAGTCAGATGGTACTGAGCGACTAACATTTTCACTTTCACTTAACATAAGATTTCAGTGGCTGCCAAGAAGACTCTGCTCTCCTGAGTGGAGAGGTGGTCTTTGCCCAGGTGTGTGTCTGCCCAAGCCCATGCTGACTTGTAAGGCTCAGTGGTCCCGCTGTCAAGTTGGCCTTGCCAAGTTCTTTCAGCCCATGCCATGCTGTCTGGCAGTGCACAATGGTTCCAGAGTTCCTGCAGAGGAGAGCCTTAGGGTCTAGAATCTGGAAGATAAAACTAAAAATGGGCCTTGTTTGCTGTTGAAGAGAACAAATGGTACCTGTATGTCTTTATGTTATTGTTCAGTTGCTCAGTCATGCCTGACTCTTTGCAACCCCATGGACTGCAGCACGCCAGGCTTCCCTGTCCTTCATTATCTTCCAGAGCTTGCTCAGACTCATGTCCACTGAGTCAGTGATGCCATCCAACCACCTCATCCTCTGTTTCCCCCTTCTCCTCTTACCCTCAATCTTTCCCAACATCAGGGTGTTTTCCAGTGAGAGTCTTTCTGTTGAGTAATTTGTAATAAGGGTTGGAAATTGGCGGGTGGAGTTTTCATGAATGTCTCTCTTCCAGTGCTCTGTCTTGGCCAGAGGATTCAGGCACAGGATGGTAAGTGTTTCTCTAAGTCTCCTCCAATCCCCTTGCATCCTCACGGCAACTCTGGGATAGAAGAGTCTGAAGCTCAAAGGGATTCCAATTTTATTTCTGGTTCTGTTGATCGCTATCTCTGCTGTGTTCCTTTTGCACAACTTCTACCTCACTTTGGAGTCTTTGGGTCCCTCAAACTCATGCTCAGACCAGGATTTAGTCTTTGCCTCCAGTAGGCTGACTGTCCATCCAAGATGCATGTTTTACTGAATGTTCACAACGGCAGGGATGAGGAAGTCAGGAACCACCTTCTGTTTTCCAATATTCTTCCTACATCAAATGTTCTCACAACCTAACTCTCCACAGTCCATCCACTTTTCTTCATTTAAGGGGACACTGCCTTAGAGAACTTTATGTAAGTGGCTTCAACTCTCAGAACCAATTTCTTTGTCTACAAAGGTGGCTCAGATGGTAAAGAATCTGCCTGCAATATGGGAGACCTGGGTTGAACCCTTGGGTCAGGAAGATACCCTGGAAAAGGGAATGGCTACACCACTCCAGTATTCTTGACTGGAAAATCCCATGGAAAGAGGAGACTGGTGGGCTACAGTCCATGGGGTTGCAAAGAGTCCAACATGACTGAGAGGCTAACATTTTCACTTTCTAAAGAGAAATAAAAATAACAATGAAAGCAGATTGGATCATGGGAGGATGGGATCATTGTGATCCAATTGTTGGGATTAATCGAGATAAGGCATATGAATTATGTACATGGTAAGTGTATTGCCTGTGATGGGTTTCTCAGGTGGTTCAGTGGTAAAGATACCTCTGATGATGATGGTGGTGATCGTAAGGAAAAAAAAGTCTCTGAACTCTATGAAGGGCCCAGTCTCCACTTTACTTGATTCATTGAAGTGTTGAAGTCGCTCAGCAGTATCCAACTCTTTGCGACCCCATGGACTGTAGCCCACCAAGCTCCTCTGTCCATGGGATTCTCCAGGCAAGAACACTGGAGTGGGTTGCCATTTCCTTCTCCAGGGGATCTTCCCAACCTAGGGATTGAACCCAGGTCTCCCGCATTGCAGGCAGATGCTTTATCCTCTGAGCCACCAGGGAAACTGCCATTAGTTTCTTTTAAAAAATTGTTTATTTGTTTGGCTTCTCTAACTGCTTTAAGAGACAGCTCTCCCCATATACTGAGAAAGGAGCAGAGAATTTGGGGTGAGATAGTCCCAGTTTCCAAACCAGGTTGGAGCACTCTTCAGTTTGTGGTCTTGAGCAACTAGCATGGTTTCTCCAAGCTTCAGCACCCTCACACTAGGGCGAAAAGCAGAACTGCATGTGGATAAGGGTTACCATGGCAACAAAACACCAAGCAAACTGCCTGGCATACTAGGGGGCACTCTCCAGCGCTCTTAGTCGCTCAGCTGTGTCTGACTATTTGCGACCCCACGGACTGTAGCCCACCAGGTTCCTCTGCCCACGGGATTTCTCAGGCAAGAATCCTGGAGTGGGTTGTCATTTCCTTCTCCAGGGGATCTTCCAGACCCAGGGACTGAACCCGGGTCTCCCATATTGCAAGCAGATTCTTTACCATCTGAACCATCAGGGAAGAGAGTAGAATTAATGTGTATGGGGTCTGCTTTGAGGGCAATGATAATGGAATAGACAGAGATGATGATTGCACAAGATTGTGAATAACCTCCACTGAATTGTATACTTTCAACAGGGGAAGTTTATGTTATATAAAGTTCACCTTGATAAATAAATAGATATATAAATATAAATATATATATGTATATATACACACACACATATATATAAAGGAAGGAATTTTGTTCCTCAAAAAATCTTTCAGTTCCTCAGAAACCTAAATGCCCAATCCAGCAATTCCACTTCTATACATGTAACAAGAGAAACTAAAGAACAGATTCTAACAAGATACTTGTACTTCCATGTTCATAGCAACTTTATTCACAATAGCCAGAAGGTGGGGAAAACTCAAATGTCCACTAACATGAATGTATAAGCAAAATGCAGTCTATACGTACAGTGGATTATTTTTCAGCCATAAAAAGGAAACGTATTCTGATACATGCTACAGCGTGGAGGAATCTTGATGACATTGCACTAAGTAAAAAAAAACACCAGACACAGAAAGGCAAATACTGTTTATTCCACTGATACAAGGCATCTAGAGTAGGAAAATTCACAGAGACAGAAAGTCAACTAGAAATGTAAATCCATGGCTAATTCATCTCAATGTATGACAAAAACTACTACAATGATGTAAAGTAATTAGCCTCCAACTAATAAAAATAAATGAAAAAAAAAAAAAAGAAATGACAAGGGCCTAAGAAAAGAGTGAAGAGTTATTGCTTAGTGGTTTTAGGGGTTTGTTTGGAATCCTGAGAAAGTCCTGGAAATAGATGCACAATATGGTTGAGTTGCACAATATGGTGAGCATAGGGCCTTCCCCTGTGGCCCAGTGCTTAAGACTTCACTTTCCAATGCAGGGGATACAGGTTGGATCCCTCGTCTGGGAGTTGTGATCCCACATGCCTTGTGACCAAAAAACCAAAGCATAGAACAGAATCAATATTGTGAAAAGTTTAATAAAGACTTTAAAAATACTCCACATCTATCCATATCTATACATATACCTATACCTATATCTATCTATCTATATATGCACACACATATAGTGAGTGTAATTAAGGCCACTTAGCTGTGTACTTAGAAATGGTTTAAATTTAACCTTTACATAACACATTTCATTTTTGCCACAATTAGAAATTATCCCAAAAAAATTTTTAAGGAAGGAGCTATAAGTCTGTCATACCCTTCATTTAGTTGTTCCCCTCACAGAAAAAGAAAGATGTATGGTTTCTCCATGGCAGGCCACCTGAGTCTGGGTCCTGTTTTCTTTTAGGGAACTTTCCCATTCCTATCATATCTGCTATGCCCAGTTCTGTGGTTCCCTGGAATGGGTCGGTGAAGATCTTGTGCCAGGGAACCCTTGCATCTTACCTGTACCAGCTGGAGATCCTGGAAAACCTCACCTACAGAGTGGTGGAGAAGAAGTTGGGATTTCAGGAGGTGGCGGAGTTCGTCATTAACCACATGGATACAAACACCGCAGGGCGTTATCAGTGCCGATATGGGAGAGAACACCGCTGGTCAGCGCCTAGTGCAGCCCTGGAGCTGGTGGTGACAGGTGAGGCCCTGTGCAGGTCTCTGACGCTCAAGTCTTTTTCTTTTCTTAGTTTTTCAGAGATGTTATTTTTAGAAGTTTCAAATTTCCAGGGAAATTAAGGTGATGTAACAGACAGTGCCCATATACCTTGCACCCAGTTTCCCCTACTCTTAACACATTGTTGATCAAAGGCTTATTAATAGGTCTTTTGTTACCCAAATGTTTATTGACTGCAGACGTATTGACATATTTTTAGAGAGTGATACAATTAACATCACTGGTGCAAAGTTGTTAGAGGTTAGAATTGATCAAGGATTCTCTCAACAACGTATGACTGACATTGTCATTCACATTTTGCTCCATTAGGTTTTTGTTCTAACCTTGTGTATATTATAAATGCAAGTTTATTACTGTAAAAGTTTCAAAAATGATGCACCAAGAAATTTTGAGTGAAGGATTTTTCGGTGCATTTTATGCAGTTACTTTCTCTGTCCAAGCAACACATACACTAGTGTCTCAGAAGATGATAGCTCTTCAGCATAAAGTTCTGATTCAGACAAGGTGAATATTAGATCAGCAAAAAGACAAAAAAAAAACCTTAGTGATTGATTCTAATGTAGAAAGTGAAAATGAAACTCATGGTGCTGGAGAACTTTATAGGTGTGTCCGTTGTAACTATTAAATGTAAAAACCTGCAAAGTCTTATGAAATAACAGAATTAATTTCTGACCTGCCAAAATAAAAATCTCTGGCTCCTTTGTCCATGGGTTTTCCCAACCAAGAATACTGGAGTGGGTTGCCATTTCCTCCTCCAGGGGATCTTCCCAACCCAGGTATCCAAACCTGGTCTCCTGTATTGGCAGGCAGATTCCTTACTATCAGAGCCACCAGAGAAAGCTCCTGGGATTCCCTAAGCGGTGAGCAATTAAAATATCTTCATTTTCATAAGAAATCCCTTTCAACCACACCTGATTTTATGTAAATGAGGTGACTTTTGGAAAGCACCTAAAGGATCTGAGCTGGTTGCCAGGGGAAACAACCAGGTAATTGGTGGGTTAGAATGCTCAGCCCTGCCCCACCCCCACCTGACCTCCGGGGAGGGCAGAGAGGCGGGAGGTTGAATCCATCCCCAAAGGCCGATGATGAAATAATCAGTCTCGCCTAGGAAATGAGGTCCTGTATTCTTCCAGTTCTCCCCTCTGGCTGTTCCTGACACGTGCTCTCATAAGTCAGTAATCTAGTAAGCAAGCTGGCCCCCTGAGTTCCATCTGCCTCTCTAACAAATGAATTGAACATAAGAACTGCGACCCGACAACTTCCGATTTATTGCCATTCGGTCAGAACCACGGGTGACAACCTGGACTTTTGATGGGCTCTGAAGTGGGGGGCAGCTTGTAGGACTGAGCTGTTAGTCCAGAGCCCCAAACCGCAGGATCTGACGTTACTGCCAGGTAGAGAGTCAGAATTGAGGTGACTCGTGGGACGGGGAAACAGTGGAAACAGTGTCAGACTTTATTTTGGGGGGCTCCAAAATCACTGCAGATGGTGACTGCAGCCATGAAATTATAAGACACTTACTCCTTGGAAGGAAAGTTATGACCAACCTAGATAGCATACTAAAAAGCAGAGACATTACTTTGCCAACAAAGGTCTGTCTAGTCAAGGCTATGGTTTTTCCAGTGGTCATGTATGGATGTAAGAGTTGGACTGTGAAGAAAGCCGAGCACTGAAGAATTGATGCTTTTGAACTGTGGTGTTAGAGAAGACTCTTGAGGGTTCCTTGGACTCTCAACCAGGAGATCCCACCAGTCCATCCTAAAGGACATCAGTCCTGGGTGTTCATTGGAAGGACTAATTCTGAAGCTGAAACTCCAATACTTTGGCCATCTCATTTAAAGAGTTGACTCATTGGAAAAGACCCTGATGCTGGGAGGGATTGGGGGCAGGAGAAAAAGGGGACGACAGAGGATGAGATGGCTGGATGGCATCACCGACTCAATGGACATGAGTTTGAGTAGACTTCGGGAGTTGGTGATAGACAGGGAGGCCTGGTGTGCTGCAGTTCATGGGGTCGCAAAGAGTTCATCGTGTTGCAAAGACACGACTGAGCGACTGAACTGAACTGAACTGTGGGACGCCCAGCTGGCATCTCAGAATCACTCAGTGGTCTGGGGAGGAAACCCACAGGTTGGGACTGGGAACAGAACCATGTGGCACTTCTGGCTTTAGAGACTAGATCGCTGTCCCTGGAAGATACCTGCTCATCTGCTTGTTCGCTCAGCTCCAATTGGGACAGAGCACGGGTCCTGCAGGGGGCTCCCCAGGTGGCTCAGTGGTAAAGAATCCATCTGCGATGCAGGAGATGCAGGAGATGTGGGTTCGATCCCTGGGTCGGGAAGAACCCCTGGAGGAAGGCTGGCAATCCACTCTAGTGTTGTTTCCCGGATAGTCCCATGGACAGAGGAGTCTGGGGGGCTACCGTACTTCAGGTCACAAAGAGTTGGACACGACTGAGCACATGCACATGGGTCCTGTAATAGTGAAATGGGATGTTACCACCTCCCATTCCTTTGCATCAGGAAAACATGAGCTTCCGCCCTTCTCTTAGCATGGACCCAAAAGGAGTGGCGGAGAAACAGGGAAAGACAGAAATCTTGCCAACAACTCACTCTCTTCTCTTTCAGGCTTGTACGACAAACCCTTTCTCTCCACCGATGGGGGCCAGGTGGCGATGCCAGGGGAGAATATTTCCCTCCGGTGCAGTTCAGCACACATGTCGTTCGACAGATTTTCACTGAGCAGGCCGGGAGGGGCCACCCTGTCACGGCACCGAGATGCAAGACTCCAGGGGGACTTCACTCTGGGTCCTGTGAACCTCAGCTTCTCAGGAGTCTATACATGCTATGGCTGGCACAGCGGCCGCCCCTATGTATGGTCAGCCCCCAGCAATGCCCTGGAGCTGGTGGTCACAGGTAAGGGTATCCCCCCCACCCCTGCCAGAGACTTCCGTCCTCCTCCTCAGGGCTCTCGCTGGCTGTCCAGGGCCTTGGCATCAGGCAGGAGAACAGAGAGGCACCAAGAAAGAAGATCGGGGCAGGAGAGACTCATGGCTTAGAGGACCGCGAAGAGAGAAGGCCTTCTCACCCATGTGACATGTGACTTTCACAGCGTGTCCCCGAGCTCTCCAGTGTCCTTCAAGACACATGGCTTGTTGAGAAAGGAGAGGCCCATGTTCAGAATCATCTTTAGGGGTGTCGTTGAGCCAGCAGGTACAAGACACAACCATTGATGAACTCACTTTCTTTCATCACATGCTTAGTCGTAACAGGGAATACTGACATTAACCTCTAATACTAGAAGCCACTCGGAGAGGTTGACTGGTAACTTACCACTCATCAGGAAGACTCTAAAAAACTCTATCAAGAGCTTCATTTAGGGAAACTCACTCGTGCTCCAGGGATTAAGACTCAGGGCTTTGGGACCTCCCTGTTGGTCTGGTGGCTAAGACTCTGATCTCCCAATGCAGGGGACCTGGGTTCAATCCCTGATCAGGGAACTAGATCCCACATGCTGCAACTAAAGATCTCACAGGCTGCAACTACAGACCCAGTACAGCCAAATAAATAAGCAAATATTTAAGAAAAAAATGGGGGAGACACTTCCTTGGTGGCTCAGTGGTAAAGAGTCTCCCTGCCAGTGCAGGAGATATGGGTTTCATCCCTGATCTGAGAAGATCTCACATGCCTCGAAGCAACAAAGAGCCTGTGCCATGATTACTGAGCCTGTGCTCCACAATGAGAGAAGCCACTGTCATGAGAAGCTGGAGAACCATAACTAGAGAGTAGCCCCCACCCACCCCAACTAGAAAAAAGCCCAAGCAGCAAGGAAGACCCAACAGAGCCAAAAATACATAAGTAAAATTATACATACATATATAAAGACTCAAGGCTTTCACTACTGTGGACCTGGGTTGATCCCAGGTTGGGGAACTAAGATCCCATAAGCCACAGTGAAGTGTAAAAAAATAAAATTCAAAAAGAGCTTCATTTTTATATTGTTTGCATGCATCACTCTGCCCAGAGGGAGCAAACAGGAGTTACAGCAGAGGAAAGCAACCTCTGGTGACTGAGTGGGATGACCACGTTTGTCTGTCTTGTCCAGTCATTCTACAAGCTAAGCGAATGTAGCAGTCATGGCCTTATAAGCTCATATGGCCAAATGGTCCTTTCAATTAATGATACAGGGACAGCTGGCCATCTTTGGAGGAGGGGTGAATTTATTAGCAGTTCCCTTTAATGTAGACAGTCACTGTATCTTGTTCTAGAAATCACCTCCCATCCCAATGTCAGGATGAGCCTTTCTTATATTATCTCCCCAGACTTGAAATATTTTGCACTTTGCAATTAGGAATTCATGTTGAATCCCAAGGCTTCCCTGGTAGCTCAGTTGGTAAAGAATCCACCTGCAATGCAGGAGACCCCCGTTCGATTCCTGGGTCGGGAAGATCCCCTGGAGAAGGGATAGGCTACCCATTCCAGTATTCTTGGGCTTCCCTGCCGGGTCAGATGGTAAAGAATCCACCTGCCCAAATCCACTTGGAACTGATTTCTATGTGTTAACAGAAGAGAGTTACTAGGATTTCTGAGCATTGTAATTTCACAATATTTTATTACATCCTTGAGCCCATGAGGTCCATAAAATAAATGGATAAATTTTTTAAAGGTGCAATGAACAGAAATAACTGATGAAAGGTCACACACCAGTGGACCAAGGTCACACTTAGCTTCCCTAAGTTTTTTGTGTTTTGATCACGCCACATGGCATTCAGAGATCCTAGTTCCCTGACCAGGGATTGAACCCATGTCTGCTGCAGTGGAAGTGCTCAGTCATAATCCCTGGATCGCCAGGAAAGTTCCAAATTTTTCCTAGGTTTGTCTTAACTTTTTTTTCCTATTTGCTTCCCAGATACCAGTCATTGTATGAGAAAGGGAAACACACTGTTCCGTGGGGTGAGACGATGTAGAGGAGAGAGTTTGGGGCTCTGGATCTATGAAGATGTTTTGAGGATATGATTATATATTCAGTGAAACTGCCACATAGGGAGGGGATGACAAGCAAACAGAACATCCTCATAACCACCTCCTCCCCCGTTTACAAGATACCTCTGGGGACCACAGCTTTGGACTCGGGTTTAAGGTGAAGTATAGAGACTCACATACAGGGGTAACCAGCTTATCAGTGCCGTGCGGTGCCTGCGTGCTCAGTCGTGTCCGACCCTTTGTGACCCCATGGCCTGTAACCCACCAGGCTCCTCTGTCCATGGGGTTTTCCAGGCAAGAATACTAGAGTGGGTCGCCATTTCCTTCTCCAGGGATCTTCCTGACCCAGGGATAAACCTGCATCTCCTGTGTCTCCTGCATTGCAGATGGATTCTTTACCCAGTGAGCCATCAGGGAAGCCCAAGATGAAGTATGGTGCCCAGGAATGCATGCATTGCCTGAGGAGCGGGTCCCAGTGAACACACAAACTGGGAAAATGAGCTCCCTTCTCAGGGCTCTTGGTCGGGAGGGAATGAAACGTGACCAGTGATCATTCATTTCCTTCTAATGACATCTCTAGGTACCACGAGCCAAGATCACACGACGGAGAACTGGATTCGGATGGGCATGTCAGGGCTGGTCCTCATAGTCCTCTTGGCCATTCTGGCTGAAAATCAGCTTGGCCCTCAGGTTATACACCAGAAAGACCAGAAAGATCTTCCTGACCTGAGCTGGAGTCGACAGAAAAGTCAGACAGAATGGACCTTTAGACTAACTCCTAAGGACCACCAGGGATACTCTTAGAGCGGATACTTCTTAGAAGAGCCAGCATCTGTGAAGTCCTATGCAGCTGCTTGGAGAGCACAAGGGAGACGGAGGTATGAAGAAGCTTGGATCCCCTTTCAAACCAATCAAATGGTATTTTCTTATATGCATCTAATATATTTGCATTCCACCTTTCTAGACATAGTTGAGAATATTCTCAGTATCATCTTGGCTGAACTCATTTCCTGCCATAAAAAATAATGAAAAGCATTCTCAGTTCTCCTTGCTGTTTTTTACCCTCCCTCTATAGACTTTTGGGCTTACCAAGTGGCTCACTGGTAAAGAATTCACCTGCCAATGCAGGAAATGCAGGTTCCATCCCTGTGTCGGGAAGATCTCCTGGAGGAAGGCGTGGCAACCTACTCCAGGATTCTTGCCTGAGAAATCCCAAGAACAGAGGAGCCTGGAGGGCTGCAGTCTGTGCGGTCGCAACAACTTGGACATGACTTGGCACGCACATGCACACACTGTAACCCTTTGAATTTGATTTTAATCAATTCTAATTCAGTCAATCATGTGATAACCAATTATATCACATGAGCAAACAGAGGCTCAGAAATCATATGATTTGAATAATGGTAAAATGCGTGGATACAGAGTTTCAGTTTGGGAAGATGAAAAAGTCCTGGAGATAGACGGTCATGTTGGTTGCATGATGATATGAATGTCCAGAATGCCACTGAAATGTACACTTAAAAATGGTTAAAATGAAACTCTATGCTCATTAAATAGCAATTCTCCTTTGGAGGTATAGAGTTTCAGTTTTATAAGTTGAGAAAGTTCTAGAAATTTGCCTCACAACAATGGAAATGTACTTTGCACAACTGAACTGTACACCTAAAAATGCTTAAGACATTATGTTTCATGTATGAGGGGGTTACCATAATAATAATAAAACTTTTTAAAAATGGTTAAAATGGTACATTTTGAGTCATGTATGTCTTACCACAATTTTTTAAAAGTTCTTTGTGGTCTATAGAAACTGAAAGTAGGTTAGTGGTTTCCCAATGCTGGGAGAGAGACAGGGTATTGTACAGTGAGTGATAGTGGGTAATAGGGTTTTTGTGGGGGTGGAGGGGATTGGAGGTTTAAAAAGTTTTGAAATTAGATTGTGGTGATGGTTGAGTGACTGTGGAGATATAATAAAAAACCATAGAATTATACACTTTAGATGGTAAATTGTAGAGTATGTCAATTATATCTCAACACAGTTGGGGTTTTTAAAACATTGAGAAGGATTAGAGGGGTCCTAAGATGGCGGAGGAATAGGACGGGGAGACCACTTTCTCCCCCACAAATTCATCGAAAGAACATTTGAATGCTGAGCAAATTCCACAAAACAACTTCTGACCTCTGGCAGAAGACATCAGGCAACCAGAAAGGCAGTCCACTGTCTTCAAAAGGAGGTAAGACTAAATATAAAAAACAAAGAGAGAGACAAAAGAGTTAGGGACAGAGACCCATCCCAGGAAGGGAGTCTTAAAAGAGGAGAAGTTTCCAAACACCAGGAAACCCTCTCACCATAGGGTCTGTGGGGAGTTTTGGAATCTCAGAGGGCAACATAACCAGGAGGACAAAATAAATAAATAAATAAAACTCACAGATTATGTCAGTTCAGTTCAGTTCAGTCGCTCAGTCGTGTCCGACTCTTTGCAACCCCATGAATCGCAGCACTCCAGGCCTCCCTGTCCATCACCAACTCCCGGAGTCCACCCAAACCCATGTCCATCGAGTCGATGATGCCATCCAACCATTTCATCCTCTGTCATCCCCTTCTCCTCCTGCCTTCAATCTTTCCCAGCATCAGGGTCTTTTCCAATGAGTCAACTCTTCGCATGAGGTGGCCAAAGTATTGGAGTTTCAGCTTCAACATCAGTCCTTCCAATGAACACCCAGGACTGATCTCCTCTAGGATGAACTGGTTGGATCTCCTTGCAGTCCAAGGGACTCTCAAGAGTTTTCTCTAACACCACAGTTCAAAAGCATCAATTCTTCGGTGCTCAGCTTTCTTTATAGTCCAACTCTCACATCCATACATGATCAGTGGAAAAACATAGCCTTGACTAGACGGACCTTTGTTGGCAAAGTAGTGTCTCTGCTTTTTAATATGCTGTCTAGGTTGATCATAACTTTCCTTCTAAGGAGTAAGCATCTTTTAATTTCATGACTGCAATCACCATCTGCAGTGATTATGTGCCTAACGCAATTCCCAGCAGAGAAGTAGCCCAGACACTAGCGTCCGCCACCAGCAAGCGGGGGCTGGACAGGGAGGCACAGGCTGCCTTGCTTAGGGTAAGGACTGGGCCTGAATGCCCAGAGGGCAATCTGAGGGAGCTAATGTGAGATAGCAACCCAAAGTGTGGGATAGCCAGAGAGAGAGGAAAAGAGAGAGAGAGAGAACTATCCCGTGAAAAGCCCTAACCTAGGACACTGCTGGGCCCATTCTCAGAACAAAGGACTGAGCGAATACCAGAGGAGAGCTACTGGCTGTGGACCGGCCCATCCCCCACCGGAGGCAGGGAGGCAGGTTGGGGGCAGCCAGAGCCAGAGAGGGGCAATCTCCCAGAGATGGCATCTTCTACCAAACTGCGAGCAGGCTGCCAGTTGCTAACCAAGACCTGAGATTCTGGATGGTTGACATCTGCCAGGAGGGTCGCAGCCAGAGATCAGCTCCCCAGAGGAGACACGCAGCACATCTGAGAAGGCGTGCCCACTGCACACCCAGAAAACCAAGCAGCTGGGACCGGGGTGGTGATAAGACGCAGCCCCCACCTGGGGAGAGTGCACTCTCCAAGCACCTGGTGGCCTGAGCTGCTGGGACCTGGGAAGGGCACAAAACGCAGACCCAACCGAGTCTGTGCCTTGGTGGAGTACCCGAGAACCTGAACCTGAGTGGCTTAGAGCTGGGAAGTGCACGCAACCCAGGGCCCGCATCATACAGCTCCCCAGCAGAGGAACCTGGAGCCTGACCAGTGTAGACCGGGAAAGCGCGGGGGCAAACCCAGTGTGGCCCAGACACTGCGCACACTCCCCACACACGCCAGTGATATTTGTTTAGAGTGTTCCTCCCTCCCCACAGCACGACTGAACAAGTGAGCCTAAAAAAGTGATCACCTTTGCCCCCTTGTGTCTCAGCGGAAATTAGACACTAAAGAGAGCTGCAAACAGAAGAAGCCAAAATAAACAGAGGGAGCTGCTTTAGAAGTGACAGGTGCAACCGATTGAAATCCTGTAGTTAGCACCGACTACATTGGAAGGGGCCTATAGATCTTAAGAAGTATAAGCTGCAACAGGGAACTATCTGAAACTGAACTGACCCCACACTGCCCACAACAGCTCCAGATATATATACATAGTCCTACATATATTTTTACTATTATCATTTTTTAAATTAAAAATATTTTTTATTTTTAAGTTCTCTATTAATCCTTTAATTTTCATTTTTATAACCTACTATTATCTTGCCAAAGAAACCTATTTTTAAAGCAAACTTCATATATATTTTGTTATAATTTTTGTGATTTTGTTTTTTTTTTAATAGTGTATTTTTGAGAGTTTAACCTCTACTCCAGATTTTTAATCTTTGCTTTTTGGTATTTGTTATCAATTTTGTACCTTTAAGAATTTAATCTTCAGTACCCATTTTTACTTGGGCCTGTGATTACTGGCTTGATTACTCTCTCCCCCTTTTGACTCTCATTTTTCTCCCCCAGGTCACCTCTATCTCCTCCCTCCCCCTTCTCTTCTCTACCCAACTCTGTGAATCTCTTTGTGTGTTCCAGGCTGTGGAGAACACTTAGGGAACTGATTACTGGCTAGATCTGTGTCTCTCCTTTTGACTCCCCCTTTTCTCCTCCTGGTCACCTCTATCTCCTTCCTCCCTCTTCTCTTCTCCATGAAACTCTGTGAACCTCTCTGGGTATTCCTCACTGTGGAGAATCTTTTCACCATTACCCTAGATAGTTTATCATCAGTGCTATATGGATGGAGAAGTCTTGCAGCTACTGTAAGAATAAGACTGAAAACCAGAGGCAGGAGGCTTAAGTCCAAAACCTGAGAACACCAGAGAACACCTGACTCCAGGGAACATTAATTGATAAGAGATCTTCCAAAAGCTCCCATACCTACACTGAAACCAAGCACCACCCAAGAGCCAACAAGTTCCAGAGCAAGACATACCAGGCACTTTCTCCAGTAACGCAGGAACACAGCCCTGAGCTTCAATATACAGGCTGCCCAAAGGCACACCAAACCCATAGACATCTCAAACTCACTACTGGACAATTCATTGCACTGCAGAAAGAAGAAATCCAGCTCCACCCACCAGAACACCTACGCAAGCTTCCCTAACCAGGAAGCCTTGACAAGCCACTCGTCCAACCCCACCCACAGGGAGGAACCTCCACAATAAAGAGGAACCACAAACTGCCAGAATACGGAAATGCCCCCCCAAACACAGCAACATAAACAAGATGAAAAGGCAGAGAAATACTCAGGAGGTAAAGGAACATGATAAATGCCCACCAAACCAAACAAAAGAGGAGAGAGGGAGTCTACCTAAGAAGGAATTCAGAATAATGATAGTAAAAATGATCCAAAATCTTGAAAGCAAAATGGAGTTACAGATAAATAGCCTGGAGACAAGGATCGAGAAGATGCAAGAAATATTTAACAAGGACCTAGAAGAAATAAAAAAGAGCCAGTTGTAATGAATAATGCAATAAATGAGATCAAAAACACTCTGCAGGGAACCAACAGTAGAATAACAAAGGCAGAAGATAGGATAAGTGAGGTAGAAGATAGAAATAAATGAAGCAGAGAGGAAAAAAGAAAAAAGAATTAAAAGAAATGAGAATTAGAAGAATTAAAAGAAATGTCCCTCAAAGACCTCTGGGACAATGTTAAATGCCCCAATATTTGAATCATAGGAGTCCCAGAAGAAGACAAAAAGAAAGGCCATGAGAAAATACTTGAGGAGATAGTAGTTGAAAACTTCCCTAAAATGGGGAAGGAAATAGTCACCCAAGTTCAAGAAACCCAGAGAATCCCCAAACAGGATAAACCCAAGGTGAAACACCCCAAGACACATATTAATCAAATTAACAAAGATCAAACACAAAGAACAAATATTAAAACCATCAAGGGAGAAACAACATATAACACACAAAGGGATTCCCATAAGGATAACAGCTGGTCTTTCAATAGAAACTCTTCAGGCCAGAAGGGAATGGCAGGACATACTTACAGTGATGAAAGAGAATAACCTACAACCCAGACTACTGTACCCAGCAAGGATCTCATTCAAATATGAAGGAGAATTCAAAAGGTTTACAGACAAGCAAAAGCTGAGAGAATTCAGCACCACCAAATCAGCTCTTCAACAAAGGCTAAAGGATCTTCTCTAGACAGGAAACAGAGAAAGGTTGTATGAACGCGAACCCAAAGCAACTAAGCAAATGGCAATGGGACCATACTTATCAGTAATTACCTTAAATGTAAATGGGTTGTATGCCCCAACCAAAAGACAAAAGACTGGCTAAATGGATACAAAAGCAATACCCCTATATATGCTGTCTACAAGAGACCCACCTCAAAACAAGGGACACATACAGACTGAATGTAAAGGCCTAGAAAAAGATATTTCATGCAAATGGAGATCAAAATAAAGCAGGAGTAGCAATACTCATATCAGATAATATAGACTTTAAAATAAAGGCTGTGAAAAGAGACAAAGAAGGACACTACATAATGATCAAAGGATCAATCCAAGAAGAAGATTTAACAATTATATAAATATATATGCACCCAACATAGGAGAACCACAATATGTAAGGCAAATGCTAACAAGTATGCAAGGGGAAATTAACAATATCACAATAATAGTGGGAGACTTTAATACCCCACTCACACCTATGGATAGATCAACTAAACAGAAAATTAACAAGGAAACACAAATTTTAAATGATACAATGGACCAGTTAGACCTAATTGATACCTATAGGACATTTCACCCCAAAACAATGAATTTCACCTTTTTCTCAAGTGCACACAGAACCTTCTCCAGGATAGATCACATCCTGAGCCATAAATCTAGCCTTGGTAAATTCAAAAAAATTGAAACCATTCCAAGCATCTTTTCTGACCACAATGCAGTAAGTTTAGATGTCAATTACAGGAAAAAAAAAAACTATTAAAAATTCCAACATATGGAGGCTATACAACATGCTTCTGAGTAACCAACAAATCACAGAAGAAATCAAAATATGCATAGAAATGAATGAAAACACAACAACCCAAAACCTATGGGACCCTGTAAAAGCAGTGCTAAGGGGAAGGTTCATAGCAATACAGGCTTACCTCAAGAAACAAGAAAAAAGTCATATAAATAACCAAACTCTACACCTAAAGCAACTAGAAAAGGAAGAAATGATGAACCCCAGGGTTAGAAGGAAAGAAATATTAAAAATTAGACCAGAAATAAATGCAAAAGAAACAAAATGATACATGCATCCCAATATTCATAGCAGCATTACTCACAACAGCCAGGACATAGAAGCAATCCAAGTGCCCATCTACAGATGATTGGATTAAGAAGATGGGCTATATACATATATAATGGAATAGTACTCAGCCATAAAAAAGAATGAAATTCTACCTTGTGCAGGAGCATAGATGGGCCTCAGGGGCTTTATGCTTAGTAAGATCAGTCAGACAGAGAAAGAGAAACACTGTATGACATCACTTACATGAGGACTAAAAAATAATATAAATGAATGTATAGGCAAAACAGAAGCAGAGTCACAGATAATGGAAAATAAACGCGTGGTTACCAAGCGGGAGAGGAAAGTGGGTAGGCACACACTAGGGATATGGGAGTGAGGGATACAAACTAACATGGAGAAAACAGATAAGCAAGAAGAATAGACTATATCGCACAGGGAACCACAGTCATTATCTTGTAATAAATCATTATGGACTATAATCACTGCTATATACCTGAAACTAATAGAATATTGCACATCCACTATACTTCAACTAAATAATTTATTTATTTAAACATTATTTAGACCCTTTAAAAAAGAACAACAGACACATTTTTTGTTTAAAATATGTTAATGTACTTAATATTTTAATATTCTGCTTTATAGCAGACTAAAGGAATATTACTATGTAAGAAATATATTTTTGCTTAAAAATAGTACTTTATTAAAACATTGTAATAAATCTGAAGGAGACAGGTTTTTGTTTTTTGTTTTTTGTTTTTTATTAGTTGGAGGCTAATTACTTTACAATATTGTAGTGGGTTTTGTCATACATTGACATGAATCAGCCATGGATTTACATGTGTTCCCCATCCCGGTCCCCCCTCCCACCTCTCTCTCTGCCCGATCCCTCTGGTCTTCCCAGTGCACCAGGTCCGAGCACTTGTCTCATGCATCCAACCTGGGCTGGTGATCTGTTTCACCCTAGATAATATACATGTTTCGATGCTGTTCTCTCAAAACATCCCACCCTCGCCTTCTCCCACAGAGTCGACAAGTCTGTTCTATACATCTGAGTCTCTTTTTCTGTTTTGCATATAGGGTTATCATTACCATCTTTCTAAATTCCATATATATGTGTTAGTATACTGTAATGGTCTTTATCTTTCTGGCTTACTTCACTCTGTATAATGGGCTCCAGTTTCATCCTTCTCATTAGAACTGATTCAAATGAATTCTTTTTAATGGCTGAGTAATATTCCATGGTGTATATGTACCACAGCTTCCTTATCCATTTGTCTGCTGATGGGCATCTAGGTTGCTTCCATGTCCTGGCTATGATAAACAGTGCTGCGATGAACATTGGGGTACACGTGTCTCTTTCAGATCTGGTTTCCTCGGTGTGTATGCCCAGAAGTGGGATTGTTGGGTCATATGTCAGTTCTATTTCCAGTTTTTTAAGAAATCTCCACACTGTTTTCCATAGTGGCTGTACTAGTTTGCATTCCCACCAACAGTGTAAGAGGGTTCCCTTTTCTCCACACTCTCTCCAGCATTTATTGCTTGTAGACTTTTGGATAGCAGCCATCCTGACTGGTGTGTAATGGTACCTCATTGTGGTTTTGATTTGCATTTCTCTGATAATGAGTGATGTTGAGCATCTTTTCATGTGCTTTTTAGCCATCTGTATGTCTTCCTTGGAGAAATGTCTGTTTAGTTCTTTGGCCCATTTTTTGATTGGGTCATTTATTTTTCTGGAGTTGAGCTGGAGGAGTTGCTTGTATAGTTTTGAGATTAATCGTTTGTCTGTTGCTTCGTTTTCTATTATTTTCTCCCAATCTGAGGGCTGTCTTTTCACCTTGCTTATAGTTTCCTTTGTTGTGCAAAAGCTTTTAAATTTTATTAGGTCCCATTTGTTTATTTTTGCTTTTGTTTCTAATATTCTGGGATGTGGGTCATAGAGGATCCTGCTGTGATTTATGTCGGAGAGTGTTTTGCCTATGTTCTCCTCTAGGAGTTTTATAGTTTCTGTTCTTACATTTAGATCTTTAATCCATTTTGAGTTTATTTTTGTGTATGGTGTTAGAAAGTGGTCTAGTTTCATTCTTTTACAGGTGGTTGACCAGTTTTCCCAACACCACTTGTTAAAGAGGTTGTCTTTTTTCCATTGTATATCTTTGCCTCCTTTGTCAAAGATAAGGTGACCATAGGTTCGTGGATTTATCTCTGGGCTTTCTATTCTGTTCCACTGATCTATATTTCTGTCTTTGTGCCAATACCATACTGTCTTGATGACTGTGGCTTTGTAGTATAGTCTGAAGTCAGGCAGGTTGATTCCTCCAGTTCCATTCTTCTTTCTCAAGATTACTTTGGCTATTCGAGGTTTTTTGTATTTCCATACAAATTGTGAAATTATTTTTTCTAGTTCTTTGAAAAATACTGTCGGTAGCTTGATAGGGATTGCATTGAATCTATAGATTGCTTTGGGTAGTATAGCCATTTTGACAATATTGATTCTTCCAATCCATGAACACAGTATATTTCTCCATCTGTTTGTGTCCTCTTTGATTTCTTTCATCAGTGATTTATAGTTTTCTATGTATAAGTCTTTTGTTTCTTTAGGTAGATATACTCCTAAGTATTTTATTCTTTTTGTTGCAATGGTGAATGGTATTGTTTCCTTAATTTCTCTTTCTGTTTTCTCATTGTTAGTGTATAAGAAGGAGACAGTTTTATCATTTTTTTTAGTCTTTATTGAAAGACTAATTTTTTATTTAGTCTTTATTTGTTACAATATTGCTTCTGTTCTCTGTTTTGGCTTTTTGGCCATGTGTCATGGATCTTAGCTCCCTGACCAGGGATGGAACCCACTCCCTCCACGTCAGAAGGTGATGTCCCAACCAGTGAGCCACCAGAGAAGTCCCCCTATCATTCCATTCTGGTGAAATCAATTAACATCCCAGCACATGAATGCTGGATGCAGAGGAGCCAAAGTCAAGCATATATTTTTAGAATGACTTTAAGGGTTTCGCTCTGTACACTGCCCTATGCCCTGGGCATAACGTCCCCATTTCAAAATTTACCAGTTGACCTAGAAATGAGTTTCAGCCGGGAACCAGACCATGGTCAGAGGCTCTGGTTAAAAACCACAGATACACTCAGATGCATCATGGGAACTGCGTCTTTTCCTTACTGCCAGTGGCCAGAGGTGGAGGAAGACCTTTGAATCATCAGTAAACAAGTCAGTGTGAAAGCCCCTGGGCGACTGCTCCCGGGCTTCACTTACCACATCCTGCGCATCCCCCTAGCCCGCAGGGCTCCATCTCCACCCAGATGTCCACATTCACTGGGCAGAATCTGAGCGATGCCTTCCATACTTGCTGTCCTTCTCATCCTTGGTGAGTTCTCGCATGGAAGAGAGATGGAATTGAGGGGTCTAGCGCAGATGGGGCAACATATCTCATCGTTCCTGTCTTCCAGGGCTGGGTCTGAGCCAGAGGACCACCACCCAGAAGCGTAAGTCCTTCCTTCAAAGCCCCCAAGTCAGATCAGCTGCTGTGTCTGCTTGAGAACAGCTGGAGGAAAGGCCAGGGACCCAGACTGGCTAGGAAGGCTCGCAGCCAGTATTTGGGTGGACGGGAGGCTGGGCGGGGGGCTTTCTCAGGGACTCCTGCCTCTGATTCCCTTCCAGAGATGCTCTCGAAACCTGCCATCTGGGTCAGACCCAGTTTCATGATCCCAAAGGGAAGACCAGCTGCCATCGGGTGTCGGGGAGCTGGCGAGGCTGTGGAGTACCAACTGCACTTTGAGGGGGACCTTTCTGCCTCGGAGAGACCGAAGTCACCCCCAGTGATGAACTGGGTGAAGTTCCCCATCCCGGCCATGACCTCACACACCGCAGGGCAATACAGGTGCTCCTACCGAAGTGGGGAGCTCTGGTCAGAGCTCAGCGACCCTCTGGAGCTGGTGGTAACAGGTAACTGTCCCATGGTGCAGCTGTAGGGTCATCTCGTCAACCTGAGTCTTCCAGAATGTCCTCACTTGCTCGTCTCCCTCTGTCTCTCCCAAGCTTCACTCAGATATTAGTTTGTCTTGGTGGCAATGCAGGGGGTCGGTTAATGCCTACGGGGTTATCTTTAGAGAATTGTCTCTATGTCCTAGAAGCAGATTGGTCTTAGGTTCTTCGGAAAAAAGACTCTAAGATGGATGTTTGTGCCCAGAGGGAATCACCGTGGAGTGTCCTTAAAAACAGCACCTGTGATAAGTGAGCGGCACAGGCCCTCACTGCTCACAGAAAGGGCAGTTGGACAGCAGTGCAGCTCCACAGGAGACCTCAGGGACTTCCCTGGTGGTCAGTGCAGTGGTTAAGACTCCATGTTTCCAATGCAGGTGATGAGAGTTCGATCCCTGGCCAGGGGACTAAGATCCTGCGTGCAATGTGGTATGGCCAAAAATATTTTTTAAATAAAAAATTTAAGGACAGAGACTTCAACCGAGCAAATGTGGATCTCTGGACCTGGCTGACCTTTCAGCATAGTCTTGAAATGAGGCTAGAAGCTCTGTATTCCTATCAGGCAGGGATTGGGTGAGAACCACTCCTAGGGAGATTCCAGACAAATAGTCTTGTGTGGTTCTGGGGTTCTAGCAGAAGACAGACTATGAGTCAAAGTCAGGAAATTCAAATCAGTGACACAGCACGTGAGGGTGGAATGGTGGTGTGGAAAAAGCAAGGTAGATGGGGTGGAGGTGGCCAGGTAGTCTTGGGTCAGGCACTTCCCTTCCATTGAGGGCCATGGGTCTCAAGTTTAAGTCAATATCAGAGTCACCTATGGACTTGCAGAAGCACAGATGACTTTAGTAAACCCACATTCATGGAAGCAGTATTCACAACAGACAAAAGGTAGAAACAACTTTGCCTACCAGTGAATGAGTGGATGAAGAAAATGTGGTCTATTCATACAACTGAATATTATTCAGCCTTAAAAAGGAAGGAAATCCTGAGACTCAGTAACCTGAGGATGTTTTATTGTGTGAAATCGGCCCAACATCAAAGGATCAATAAGCGTACATTCCACTTCTTTGGGGTACTTAAAATAGTCAAATTCAAAGGCATAAAGTAGAATGGTGGTTTCCAGGGGGAAGGGGGAAATGAAAAGTTAATGTTTAATGTATAGAGTTTCAGTTTTGCAAGATGAAAAGCGTTCTGGAGATTAATGGTGATGATGGTTGTACAATCATGTGGATGTATTTAATATCACGGGACTATACAATTGAAAATAGTTAAGGTGGTAAATTTATGTATATTTTACTACAACTAAAAGCAGCAATGAGGTTTTAAAGATTTTTTCTTTTTTATGTGGACGATTCTTAAAGTCTTCTCTGAATGTGTTAAAATACTGCTTCTGTTTTATGTTACGGAATTTTGGCCACCACGAGGCATGTGGGATTTAGCTCCCCGGCCAGGGATCGAACCTGCACACCCTGCACTGGAAGGCGGAGTCTCAACCGCTGGACCACCAGGGAAGCCCCAACAAAAAGGCTTTAAAATACAGGTGGCTGCCCCTCCCCCAGGTTTCTGATGCAATAGTTCAGGGGTAGAGCCTGGAAGTGTGTGTATTTCTAACAAGTTTCCCCAGGATGCTGACATTGCTGGTCCCAAGAACCAAACGCTGAGGACCAGTGATGTAGGGAAGTTCCCAGAAAGAGATTCCTCTTAACTCTCCTGGCAGCTGGGGGAGGGACCGTCTCAGTCTTGAAGGGAGAATTCAGGGAGGGTGTATCCATGACCAAGACAAATCTAGGAAATAGAAGAAGAGACCGAGATTCTGAGCAGTGATATCCTGGCCCTAAGGACTAGAGGGACGTTCAGAGATGCAGGAAACAGGATACAGATGCTCTGTACTGGGACTTCCCTGGTGATCCATTGGTGAAGACTCCACCCTTCAAGTGGAAAGGTTTTAGGTTCTATCCCTGGCGGGAGAACTCTGATCCCACATGGTGTGTGGCCAAAAAAAAAAAAAAAAGGATGCTCTTACCCTACTAGCCACCTTCTCTCACAGGACTGTATGACACACCCACACTGTCAGTTGAACCCAGGTCTGAGGTGACCTCAGGAGAGAATGTGACCTTCCGTTGCCAGCTGGAGACAGCTACAAGCACATTCTTCCTGCTCAAGGGGGGACGATCCAGCCGCCCCCAGCTCAGATACGGGAACCTGCGGGCAGAGTTCCACCTGGGCCCTGTGACCCCAGCACACAGAGGGACATACAGATGCTTCGGCTCCTACAACAACCACGCATGGTCTTTCCCCAGCAAGCCTGTGAAGCTCCTGGTCAAAGGTGAGGACCTCCCCCTCAATGTTCCCCCGTGTCCTTTCTGGATCTCTAAGTGACCAGCAGAGACGAGGATGGCAGCCAAGAGGCAGGTGGGGAGACAGAGAGGGTGCTTTGCACCAGTGCCCTCATCCACATCTATTCCCAGAGGTCCAGGTGCTAGCGAAAGCACAAGGACCATCGCCAGGGAGACGGTGGACGGAGGAGCAGGGCAGGGAGAGGAAACAGCTGGGAAGACGAGACCCCTTGATTTCCTTGTCTCCACGGCCAGGAGACGCCGGGGACACCACCTTCGCGCCCACTGAGCACACCTCTTCTGGTGAGTAACAGATGCTTCTAAACTTGGGGCAAGGACTCAAAGCCTCCCAACCATGCTAAAAAGCAGGCGTTCGTTCACAATATCCCTTGAGTGCACAGAGCAAGCCATCAACTGCAGTTCTGTCAGCCAACCAGTCCAAGACCCTTGCTGGTATGGCGCTCAGAACCTAGAGTCAAAGTCTTTGTTCAGTCGCTGAGTCAGGCCCAAGCTGACTGCAACCCCACGGACTGCAGCACACCAGGCTTCCCTGTCCTTCACCATCTCCCAGAGTTTGCTCAGATCGCGTCCATGGAGTCGGTGAAGCCATCCAGTCTTCTCATCCTCTGGTGTCCCCTTCTCTTTCTGCCCTCAACCTTTCCCGGCATCAGGGGACTCTTAGTTGGGGCAGACGGGATCTGGTTCCCCTACCAGGGATCACGCCCAGGCCCCCTGCACTGGGAGCATGGAGTCTTAGCTACTGGACCACCAGGGAAGTCCCTCACACCATCTCTTTTCCTCACTTCTTCACTTTCCTTACCCTCTGCAGACTACTGGGACTCCTACGAGTTAACCACAGGGACCCAGTCGCAGAAAGGTAAGCCAGCAGCAGGGCCTGTTAGCCCTCACAGGAAAGGGGAGGGACATGGGGTGAGGTGGTCTTGGTAGCTCCCCGTGAGCAATCCCTCTGTTCTTCTGACCCAGACCATTTCCTCTGGAATCACATGGTCCAGAATCTCATCCGGCTTGGCCTGGCTGTCCTGGTCCTGATGGCCCTCATGGGGCTCCTGCTTGAAGACTGGCTTCACAGGAGGAAGTCTGGAGAGAGAACCCATGGGGCTTCACGTCGGGGGTGTAGGAGACAGCTCTGAGCACAGAGAGCTCTGAAGACATGACCGAGAGACCCAGCGGCCACAGGGGGAGCTGAAAGTGGCCCCGACCCTGGGCTGTGGGAGCTCTGTGTGGAACCCCTGGAGGAAGGGAGTCACTGCAGGGAACTCAGGGAGGACCGCGTGTAGCTGGGCGGAGGGAGATGCAGACGGCACATTTCTCCTGAAGACCAATCCCATTGTCTCCTCCAGGTCCGAAGGACTCTTGTGCTTCCTTCCTGCAAGCCAAAGTTTCAACCACCCCCATCTTTCCTGAAAACAGCTTTAACATCACGGCCATGGGAATATTTCCTTCTTCCTTTTGTCTTAATCCTTACTTCTTTTTATAAATGTATTTAATTTTTACTGGAAGATAATTGCTTTACAATGTTGTGATAGTTTCTGCCATACATCAACATGAATCAGCCATACGTATCCATACGTCCCCTCCTTCTTGAACCTCGCTCCCACCTCCCACTCCTCTAGGTAGTCACAGAGCCCCGTGTTGAGCTCCTTGCATCATACAGCAAATTACAACTGGGGATCTCTTATACACATGGTAGTCATGTTTTGATGCTGCTCTCTTAACTTGTCCCAAACTCTCCTTCCCCTGCTGTGTTCACATGTCCATTGTCTGTGTCTGCATCTCTATTCCTGCCCTGCAAATAGGTTCATCTGTACCATTTTTTTCTAGATTCCATATGTATATGCTTTATTGTATGAAATTTGTCTCTTTCTGACTTATTTCTCTGTATAACAGGCTCTAGGTTCATCTATCTCACAAGAACAGACTCAAATTCATTCCTTTTTATGGCTGAGTAGTATGCCTTTGTATATATGTACCACAGCTTCACTATCCATTCACCTGTCGACAGACATCTAGGTTGCTTCCACATCCTGGCTATTTATCCCTCTTTCCTCTTTGCTGTCTCTGCAGATGTCATTCAAAATATTTAACCACCAGTACAGAAAAGACATTAAGAGCTAGAGAAGCAACAAGTCAGTTGCCAATTCCCACCCATTGCTATTGTAAATGAACCATGACGGGTGTGATAAGAAAAAGATACATTTGGGGCAACATCAACAGACTCCAGGGAACCTTTGTCGTCCCAAACTGAAAAGTGTTTTTTAATTTTTAATTGAAATATTTTTGACATAGAACTCTCTGTAGGTTTAAGGCATGCAATCTGTTGATCTAATACATTAATCTATTGTGAAAGGATTGCCATTATAGTGTTAGCTAACACCTCTCTCGCATCACATTATCAATATTTCTTTTCTGTGGTTGGAATGATTAAGATATGGTCTGTTAGCAAGTTTGAGGATTATCATGCGACACTGTGGTGTATCATTACCACACTGATCATTAGGGCTCCAGGACTTATTCATCTACTGGTTTGTTCCCTTAAATGTCGTCTCTCCGTTTCCTCCACCCACCAGTCTTTAGTAACCACCATTCTGTCCTCTGTTTCTACCGGCTTGGCTTTGTTTTTAGATTCCACCTCTAAGTGATATCACACAGTACTTGTCCTTCTCTGACTTATTTCACTTAGCATAATGCTGTCAAGATCCATCCCTGTTGTCAAAAATGGCAAGATTCCCTTCTTTCTCATGGCTGAATTATATATATTTTTACCATATGTAAATATAATATATCTTTATGTTGGACCATAAAGAAGGCTGAGCACTGAAGAACTGATGCTTTCTAATTGTGGTTTTGGAGAAGATGCTTGAAAATCACTTGGATGACAAGGAGTTTAGGATCAAACCAATCAATCCTAAAGGAAATCAATCCCAAATATTCATTGGAAGGACTGAGGCTGAAGCTGAAGCTCCAATACTTTGGCGGCCTGATGCCAAGAGCCAACTCATTGGAAAAGACCCTGATGCTGGGAAAGATTGAGGGCAAGAGGAGAAGGTGGCAGCACAGAATGAGACAGCTGGATGGCATCACTGACTAAGTGGACATGAGTTTGAGCAAACTCCAGGAGATAGTGGAGGACGGAGGAGCCTGGTGTGCTACAGTTCGTGGGGTCACAGATTCACACACGACGTAGCAACTGAACGATCCCAAAGAAATTTACATTTTTAAGGAGGCAGATTCATCACTCCAGCCCAGGACCAGTCTAATCCATCTTCACTTCTCAAGGCACCCACGTGCTTGGAGGTCCGTTCCTGCTGGTTGATGCTGGTCTCATGGAGATCGGGAAAGGTGAGCTTTGAAGACTGAGAGGGCATCTCATTCTCCTCCCTCAGCTCAGCCTCGCTTCCTTCTTTGTTTACCCCCAGTTTATTTCATTTTCCAAATTACAGCAACAAGACAGGATCTCCAGTCTGCCTTTCCTGCCTGCTTTCTTCATCCCATTTCGTAAAACAGGTGCACTGCAGGATCAGGAGGCAGGGAGAAAGGACGGAATTTGAGCTCCATTAACATCTGTGTTCCTGAGGCAAACTGTGGCCTTTCTGTTTTCACTTTCCATTGGCCGAAATGTGGGGTCGATAACTCCTTCTCAGTAATACATGAGCTCATGACATCATTCTATAGATTTAAAACAAAAAGATTTTAATGTGGGCCATTTTAAAGTCTTTATTGAATTTGTTACCATATTGCTTCTGTCTTGGGTCTTGGATTGTTTGGCCCCAAGGCATGTGGGATGTTAGCTCCCTGATCAGGGACCCAACCCACACCCCCGGCTTTAGAAGGTGATGCCTTAGCCACCGGACCACTAGGGAAGTCCTCATTCTAGGAATTTATCAGTGCCCCACAGTTATTACATCACCACCAGTACCAGAGTTCTCTCACCCTGAGTCAGGAACAGGAATAAAATCTTCAGAGCATGGATATGCTCTTTCGGAGAAGGTCCATCCCCTTCCACTCTTCCTGGTCTGTGGATGGGGTGACTGATTGCCCTGAAACATCACCCACCTGGGCAAGTCTATACTCTACCCCTTCAGGCTGAGTCCTCAACCACTAGAAGCTGGTTCTCACCCCTCACTTCCTCTGAAGCTGTTTTTGTAACATAATAAGTTTCCTGGAACTCTCAGTGGACACCTCTCAGCCCTTATCTTTGCTCTTCTGTTAATTATATATGACCACTTCCTTCCTGAAAAAGTCACTTCACTGGCTTTCTCTGACCCCTCCCCCTACTCACTCTGACTCTCCCTACACTGCTGGGTTTTGGGGGCTCCCCAGGGCCAGAGTTTTGAGGTTCTGTGATGGACTTAACGTTTCTCTGGACACAAGTCTGGGTTGACTTCATTTAACGCCATGGTTTCGATTTCTCTACAATCAGATGCCCAGATCTGTTTCTCTTCTGATTACAGTCACACTGGTGGTGGGCGGGGAATGGGGTGGGGGTGGGGGAGGGGAGGGAGTTAGGGCCTCAGTATGTGCATTCGAGGGGGACGCAATTCAGCCCAGAGCAAGGACCATCCTGAGCTTGGTGTTGAGCAGCACCCCTGGCCTCTATGCTCTATGTGCCTGAACCACCAGCCACCTAACCTGTTACAACCAAGACATCTCCATGAGCTGAGCTGAGCAAGCATGTGTGCTCAGCCATGGCCAACTCTTGGTGACCCCGTGGACTGTAGCGAGCCAGGCTCCTCCGTCCATGGGACTTTCCAGGCAAGAATACTGGAGTTAGTTGCCATTTCCTTCTCCCCAGGGGGTCTTCCTGACACAGGGATCAAACCTGCATCTCCTGCGTCTCTGCATCAGCAGGCAGGTTCTTTATCACCATGCAACGTGGGAGAAGTCTCCATGGACATTGCCAAATGTCACCCTGAGGACAAACTGAGGAACTACCCGGTTAAGAACCGCTGGCTTGGAAGGATATAAATAGGGGTGATGGAAGGAGGCGGCTGTGATGGGGGAGGGGCCTCCATGAGATCTGGTGGTCAGCTAGGTGAGAACGTGTTGACTGTGCTGAGAAGGACAGCCACGTGAAACGCTGGAACACCTCCCGGAGCCTCACCCCCCAGGCAGAAACAACCACAGGCGCAGGGCTCAAGGCAGAGGAGTAGCAGAACACCCCGCATGGCTGGGACAGAGCGAGTCAGGGGAAACCCAACTGAAAGGTGAGCCCAGGGGTCTTTATTTTTCATTGTGGCTGCACTGGGTCTTCACTGTGGCACAGCAGCTCTTTGCTGTGGCTCGCAGGCATCTCCAGGTGCAGAGTACAGGCTCTAGGGTGTGCAGGCTTAGTTGCCCTGTGGCATGGGGATCTCAGCCCCCCAACCAAGGTCAAAACCACATCCCCTGCATTGGAACGCAGTTTCTTAACATGCTTAACACCACCAGAGAAGGCCCCAGAAGTGACTTTTGAGCCGCAGATCTCTCTTTCACCATCACCTTGTGCAAAATGAGTTAAATAATTATAACTTTGGAGGAGGGGCTCACCTTCCCAAACCTGGATCTCCTGGCTCATACACACAGCTCTGGAAGAGAGCCCTGGTGAGGTGAACCCCAAAGTCAAGAGTTCGCCTCTACTTTGAGGCATCAAGGGGTCCCCATCTTCTCTCTGGGACTCAGCAAGGCTCAGCAGGAGGGTGAGAGGAGGAGACATGATTCTGGAACCATTTGGCCCTCTGGCCCCAGCAGAGCTGAGCTACAATGGGACTGAGGCTGAGGGGGAGGGGTCCAGGAGAGGAACCAGATGGAGAGGGGGAGACCCACTTAATACCACAAGGCTGAGGTTTTTAACACCTGCCAAAGGAAGAGTCACACCCCCACCTAGATCTCTACCCAACCAGGGACCCGTGGGAGGTGCAATATCCTGAAGACAACGCTCTCTCCATCTGCCATGGGGTTTTCAGCCTATGGGTGATGACTGTTGTGGGACTGTGGTGTGAGCTGTAGAAGGTTTCACAGCACCCTTGGTCTGTGTCCACTAGAAGTTTGTAGCATAGCCAGTTGTGACCTCCCTTCAAAATCCAGAGTAGTCAGATCTGTAGAGACAAAGTAGATAAATGGATATGAGGTTTCCTTTTGGGGAGATGTAGAT